TACCAGTCTTGTCTGTTCCATACAAAAATTCCACCAATATCAGGCGGTAAAAATATTCATAGATTTATTTGCACAACATCACATTAACATTACATGAACATTGAAATAACTTATTTTAAGTGTGACTGCTGGTTGTGTAGGGTTTAACATACAGTATATGTGAAGCACTTTTCACAGTACGAATAACTAAAAAATATTCTTTCCTGTGTGAATCTTCTGGTGTCTAGGAAAATGTAGCTTTAGTAAGACATTTATGTCACATTCCAAACATCTAAAAAATGGTTTATCTCCTGTGTGACTCATATGGTGTTTTTAAAGCTGATCTTTATGAATAAAATGTTTATTGCATTTCGATCAGGAAAAAGCTCCCTGTCCTTTGTGGGTTCCTAGGTGTCCAATTAAAGCACTCCAAAGTGGCTTCTCCCCTGTGTGGATATTCTCCTGTGTGGATATTCTGGTGTCTACAGTATGTAATGCTCCCCAAGCATCTAAATGGCTCCTTTCCTGTGTGGATCTTCTGGTGTCTATCTAAAACTCTCCAAACATCTAAATGGCTTCTCTCTTTTATGGATCTTCTGGTTTCTATCTAAAGCTCCCAAAACATCTATATGGCTCCTTGTGTGGATCTTCTGGTGTCTATCTATAGTTCTCCAAACATCTAATTGGCTTCTCCCCTTTATGGATCTTCTGGTTTCTATCTAAAGCTCAGCAAACATCTAAATAGCTTCTCTCCTGTGTGAATCTCCCGGTGTCTATTTAACACTCTCCAAACATCTAAATGTCTTTTCTCCTGGGTGGATCTTCTGGTGTCTGTTTAAAGCTCTCAGAACATCAAAATGGCTTCACTCTTGTGTGAATCTTCTGGTGTTGGGTCAGACCTTCCTTGCTTTTAAAACATTTACCACATTCCGAGCACGGATATGGCATCTCATCTGTGTGAATCTTCTGGTGTAGAATCAGATGTGCCTTCCTTCTAAAACATTTACCACATTCAGAACAAGGATATGGCTTCTCTCCTGTGTGAATCATTTGGTGTTCAATCAACTTGTTATGTCTCGAAAAACATTTACCACATTCAGAACACGGGTATGGCTTCTCTCCTGTGTGAATCATCTGGTGTTTTGTAAGGTTTCCCCTTTCTGAGAAGCGCATATCACATTCTGAACATCGGTACGGCTTCTCTCCGGTGTGAATCCTCATGTGTTGGATTAGATTTTTCTTTTCTGGGAATTCTTTATCACATTCTGAACATCTAAATGGCTTCTCTCCTGTGTGAGACCTCTTGTGGACTTCGAGGTGTGACTTGTATACAAAGCATTTATCACATTCAGAGCATGACCATATGTTCTTTCCCGTGTGTATCTTCTTGTGTTGAGTCAGATGTATCTTCCTTCTAAAACATTTCTCACATTCAGAACAAGGATATTGCTTCTCTTTGTGAATTTTCTGGTGAGTGGTAAGTTTTGACACCAAAGGGAAACTTTTACTGCATTCAGAGCAGTCATATGTCTTCTTAGTTTGACTCATCTTGAGGTTTGATAAGAAGCGTGCCTAGCGGTAATCCTGTAAGGTACACCACCTGTTATAAAAATAATAAATATATATAGTAAAGATAAGTCACACAGTAAAATAAAAAGCAGCAGGAATAAATCTTCTGGAACAGTCAGTAAGGATGGAGGACATATTTTCTGTGCTGTGTTACATCCTGTGGTATGTTTTATAAAACATATCTCATCTAAAGTCTCATATATTTCAGCTTATGAATCCCATAATGTGCTGGCTGCATTAGATTTCTTAAAAAAAAAAGTTTTTTCCCCTTTATTTTAACCTAGTGATCCGGACAGTAACACACTTCCTGTCTTATGGTGGCTCCATACTATGGAGGGACAATGGAGCCCTTGGAACAGGGTGTTGTCACACTTCCCTGTGTGATGATCCGGTGCCGGGTTTTACCTCCTGTCTGAGCTGCTTGGCTTCCTGCCACTCCACTCTGAACCTCTACATTAAAAGTCCAGCACACTTGTTCTGTGCCGTTCGAGCAACGTGTCTTTACACCCAGTCGGACTCCCTGTTTATCACTTGCCTTTGTAATCGCTGCGGTTGCTATAACCTACCTTGTTCCCCGTGTGTCTGGATTCCCTCTTCCTCACAGTGAGATCCAGTGTTTCCTGCAGTGGATTGATCATCAGCTTCTTCAGTGAGTCCTTTCACCTGTGCCTACTTGTGTGTCTGTGTATAGGCTTCACCCCCGCCTGCTGTTGTATCCAGCACCTCGGTGCTGCAACTAACCTTTATGTCTGTGTGGGCGTGCTAGAGGGCCGCAACCTGGAAGGTGTCCAGCAGCCAATCATCCTCACCATCAGAGGCTCTGTCGAACACCTGGCCCTTCTTAGAATCTGCGCCTCTAGTGCGTCCACGTTAACCAACAAGCAAAACCAACGACAAACGCACTCAACAATTTGTTACCAGTTGTACAGTAAGGTGCACACGAAATGGGCTTTGAACAGTAGAACAGTAGAAAGGCATCATGGCACAAGTTGTTTTACATGCTAGTTTGTGAGTGTGCCATGATGCCTTTCTACTGTTCTACTGTTCAAAGCCCATTTCGTGTGCACCTTACTGTACAACTGGTAACAAATTGTTGAGTGCGTTTGTCGTTTGTTTTGCTTTACCGATTTGGTGCAGCGACGCATGGGGTTTCTCAGCTGCCAATGGGATGTGCGGGATCCCTTGTGTGTTTCTGTACCTTTAAGGAGGTGGGGCGTCCTCCTGACAAGCCTGCACCCAATTTGATATCTTCTGCCCCCATGTGCTCCAAGATGGAGACTCTCATAGTTTAGAGTTAGGACCGCACTATAAGAGGTGCCTTGGCGCGGCAGTGCGGCTTACACATCCTTTGCAGAAGACGTGTATCCAAACCTCTGTCATTGTCCTTAGTGGTGAGACAAGTTGTTTTACATGCTAGTTTGTGAGTGTGCCATGATGCCTTTCTACTGTTCCACGTTAACGCACAGACACCTACTTCCTGTTTTTTCATCCCAGACACCATTTTTTGCAAGCTACTTTTAGTTATTTTGTGTGTTACTTTGCCAAAGATAGCTCATTGTTTTCCATGGATACTGCTGCATAGATATGCATTTTTTTTTTACAAAACCAGTCAGATGTAGGGTGGTCATAAATGAGAGACTTCCTCCCCAAATCCATGGCCTGATATGAAGCTTGGAGGAGAATTAGGCTTTATACGATTACTTAGGGAGTAAATCAATTTTGAAAGCACATTGAGGCTGCCATTGCTGACCTTCTAACCTTTTAAAAATGTCAGATGCCTAAATCACTTGTCTGGAAACAATGCTAATCAGGGAAGTCAGTGGTTCTAATCTGTATACTTTTTTTCTAGGTTAGTGATTCAAATGTTGATGATTGATTTGTGTATCATTCAGCTGTAAATCCTCAAATCCTCTCTGAATTGGTGGTGACACTGTCCTTCCTTCTGGAGGGGGACTACTTTTGTTCCCCATGGTCTCTCTGTGTGTTGTAAAGTAGTCAACACTCCAAGCTCACTCCTGTGATGGACTACAATCTCATGTTTAGTTTACTTATTGGGATTGTAGTCCATCACAGGAGTGAGCTTGGAGTGGTGGCTACCTTACAACACACACAGGGACCATGGGGAACAAAAGTAGCCCCCCTCCAGAAGGAAGGACAGTGTCAGCACCAATTCAGAGATGATCTGAAGATCTACAGCCGAGTGATACACAAATAAGATACATTTTTGTTGATAGGGTACTTGAATGCATTTTAAAAATGTAATTCTTGAGTTCAGTGGCACTTGAATAATAAAATCTGGCTCTGGTTTTATTTATTTTTTAGTCAGGTTAAAGTGTATCCAAACACAAGAGCAAAAGTGCCATATATTGCAGTATATATTTCTATAGATGTGGTGGGTGCATTAGTTTACTTTTTTTTCTAGGATCTGCTGAAAATTTACTTAGAGACTGTTAGATCCATCTTAAGAACCTTAAAACTGTAATTAATTTAAAATCAAATATATTTGTTAATTAAAAAAATATCTGTACAACGTAACAAATATATTTATCTTGAATGGTGTATAATAGAAATGTCTCATCGGCACCTTGTTCTTCTGACCTGCCTGTAAATTACATTATATTGCCCAACTGAGCTCTGCCTCAGCTTAAATACAAATGATCACCACTCATAAATATGAGGTGGCTTTAGATTTTCTATGAGATTTAATTTACCTAACAACAGACTTGTTTCCAATAATATGTCTGTGAAGGTTCTCATTCATTTAGGTCATATCTGTAAAAAATAAATCAAAGCAACTGGACTTTAATGGTATGGAATATAATGGTGATGGTCTGATATGGTATGGAATGGTGAGTAAAAACAAAGGATAGTCACTGTCCAATAGGATTATTGAAAACAATATCTGTAAAAAATAAATCAAGGCAACTGGACCTGCTGTATTTTTCTTAAAGACGTTTCGCTGGTCTCCAGATCTTTCTCAATTCAGAATGACTTGGAATGGTAACTCCCAGATAATTTTTGTACAAGTCATTATGAATTGAGGAAGCTAGTTGGATGTCCAATGAAATACAGCAAGTCCAGTTGCCTTGATGTATTTGTTACAGATATTGTTTCCAATAATCCTATAAGACAGATTGACTATCTTTTGTTTCTACTTACCATTCCACTCATTAGCATATTAATACTGGGAGGGAATGTAACAGGAAGGATCCTTAGATTAAACGTTGTGATAATTGGCTCAGTTGATACCAACAACAGTTGACACAATTTAATTATCAATAGAATTGGTAAATCTCTCTATGAGTAAGCATGAGGAAGCATAAGGAAGCTGGAATGGTGGAATGTGTTAGAGATTAAGCATACATGGGGAGGAACATTACAGTATGAATTTGCCCCATAAATAAATACTTTTACTTTTGGCGAAGAGCCCTGGAGTGCGGCTTCCTCTGGATTTAGCTGTTATAGGTGATGGTGTACTTGTTTGCCTGCACCTAGGATGCAATCACAGTGTAAGTCAGAGTAGTGTTTGCTGTGAATTACATCAGTAAAATGAAAGAGCTCCTAAAATAAAATCTGATTATTCATCTAATTTCATTTATACTTGCATGTCATTTAATTTCTGTGGGAGAAGACCTTCACATCATTTTCATTACTGGGAACACAATTTCTTTAATTATTTGAAACAAATATACAAACAAGCATATATATATATATATATAT